ATCTAACAGTCATTTTGGTGAGTTCAATATATGTTTGTTTGTCAAAACGTTTTGTTTATCTATCTATTTTCTCATTGTTTTTCAAATAGTAAACAGTGACAAACAAAGTGGATTAATTTAAAAATTATTCGTAACATGTGTATAGAAGTAGTTTAAAATGTTTGTGTATTTAATTAGTTACATGAATATTGATGGCCGTATCTTAATAGATGAAATCAATGTACGTATAGTTGATGCTAGCCAGAGTGACCCGCGTCAATCTGGACAATTTATGGCACCGTCATCATTTTGGTCTTGGATGTGAAATATTAAGCTTACCAATCGTGTCAGTTAGACTAGTTGCACTCTATGGCTTGTGAAACTTGAACTTTCTGGATTAAGGATGTTAGACGGCTCTTTGTTCCCTCCGGAGTATTACTTGGATTCAGTACATAAGTTCGACTAAAACATTGCACGTATCCATGAAGTCACTGACAACTGGATTGAGTTATATTGATCAGTGTAGACTACACGGTTGTGGTCCATGAGATGATAGTAATCGATTGTTACAGGCTTCGAATAACATAGTCTCACAATGACTTACAATGGCGCCAGATGTACATTCTTGGTTCATGTCTCTCAAAGTCTTACCTACTTAAATTCCTCATGACCATTTCCTTCGCTTCTTAAGTTTATTTCACTGGATTTACTTCTTGAACAATATCTTCGAACCCTAGTCTTTTCAATTACTGCTAATACTTCAATTACCTTTACTACTATGAGATTTCAGTTGAGCATTCCATCTCTCTGTGTGCTAATATGGTATGACAACAACTTGAATTGATGTATGTCCACGTACGTACCAAATTTCTACGTCGTTGTAGCGCTAATTCATTGACTTATTTTGGTGCTCTTTTTAATATACAAATATATTTAAGTGCTTTAATCAATAAAATTTTTTTTTTCAGTAAATCTTTATATATGATCCATTTACGCTTCACAACATGACTCTTTTGATGATGTTGTAAAATGCATGTGAATCTGCCAATCTTGTGATTATATTTACTCATGATTATTGCTATTATTAGTATTATTATTATTATTATTATTATTATTATTATTGGCAGTAGTATAAGTATCAGTAATTTGTCTGGCATCGTTAAATAACTAAGATTATGTACGATTATTTGGTATACTTTTTATTTTATTGAGGATATAGATTCGACTTAGGTTGGTGAAAGATAAAAAGAAGCAAACATTGGTTAGCTGTATCATTGTAGTATGGAATAAAAAGAAGAGTTCCACAGTGTTGAAAGTGTAACGCCAGTTAATTAGGCACATCAAATAAAATAATCACATAATAATGTGAATGGATTGAAACTAAAAATGTGAATTATTGTATAACTATTAGCTCAATGGTCTGAAGGTTAATTAAGCACTCACATTGCAGTATTCAACTCTAAGGTGTTATAAATGTGCCTACTAATTAGAAGGTTCGATGCCATGACAAAATAGCTTCATTTATGAGGTGATTGCATATAAATCATACCTTGTAAATTTAACATACACTTATACGGTCATCCGGTTACATTAAATCAAACTAGATGGGAATCAGTCAGAACCTCAGTGAGTTAGTCAACTATGACATAGTTCTTGGTACATGAACGTACATCAGTTTAAGTTGTTGTCATACCATGTTGGCACACAGAGAGATGGAATTTTCAATTGAAATCTCATAGTAGTAAAGGTAGTTGAAGTATTAGCAGTAATTGAAAAGACTAGGGTTCGAAGATATTGTTCAAGAAGTATAATCCAGTGAAATAAACTTAAGAAGCGAAGAAAATGGTCATGAGGAATTTAGTAGGTAAGAATTTGAGAGAAGACCAAGAATGGATACATCTGCGCCATTGTAAGTGATTGTGAGCTATGTTATTCGAAGCCTGTAACAATCGATTACTATCATCTCATGGACCACAACCGTGTAGTCTACACTGATCAATATAACTCAATCCAGTTGTCAGTGACTTCATAGATTTGTGTCATGTTTTGGTTTAGTTGCCTCTAGCTTTCGTCCAACCTATTCCTACACCATAAAACATAACTCGATGAGGCAGTCGGTTGTTAGGCATTTGTAACACATGTCCCAACCGCCTCAAACGATGGAGTTCCATTACTTCATCTATTGTCCTGCCATCCTTACCTAGGACCTGTTTCCTAACAACAGCATTGCTTACTCGGTTGTCCCAGGATGCACGAGCAATGCTTCGGAGACACCTATGATCGAAAACCAGTAACCTACGAATATCTTCTACTCTTACTGGTCATGTTTCACAGTCATAAAGTAGGACGGAGCGGACTGCTGCGCAATACAATCGTCCTTTGTGACGAGTGACGAAGGTTGGTAAAAGCCAATCGATCCTTCTGTATCTGCGTTGAGATTTCTTCAGACACCAGACTCCCTAGCGGTTGACATGCTCAACTGCTTCACTCTCAATCACTAGTTCAGGTGCCGATACAAGCCAATCTTGAATCAACATTTGGTTAAAACTTAAGACTTAGTTGGTCTAAATTTTAACAAGTTAATTTTACCATACCATCATTCCACTTTCATAAACAACTACAGGTTAGTGAGATAAATTTTTTTTATAGATCAAAGTTAAATTTTCTCAATTGTGCTTAATATTCAAAGCAAAAACAACCACAAACCTATATGTTTGAGTTTACAAATCTAGTGTGACATTTCAGTATTATGTCATCTATGTTTACAGTATTATTATTATTATTATTATTATTATTATTATGATTTATGCAAATAAAATTTTATAAAACAGGACATTAAACTGTAGAATACTCTACACAATTATATGTGTTATGGGAACCTAGACCGAAATTGTCGGTTTTACTAGGAAGCGACTGCCTGAGCATTTGAACGAAGCGACTCATTCACAAAACAGTTGATGAACAACGTCAAGAGCTGCAGTCTCACGATAACCAATGCCATTACTTCCTTTAGGATCCTGGGGAATATTGGAATCAGGCTTTTACAACTTCATTAGGTGGATTCTACGTACCCACTAATCCAGTTTAAGCCCTACCAGGACATTCATAAACATCATTTCTGCCTCAAAGAAGTAGTGAGTAGGGATTCCGCTGCAGTGTGTCTGTGAATCTGTAGCTCTATAGAGAGGAAGGATTTCAAGACAAAGAGCGAACTCTCGACATGTTCGCCTTACCAGTGCACATTTATAGGTATTTTTCTACTGTAATTTAATTGAATTATTATATTATCTTTCATTGATTTCTCTCATTTGGTTATCAGTAAGAAAAAAGTCATGCATTTAATTTGAAAAAATTATTTTGTTTCCCTCAACAGCTGGACGACGTGATAGTTGTACTATGACTGCAGAAATACTTTCCACTTTAGCTAGTTTTCGAGATGAAATCGGCGAATGTTCTGATGGAAAAATTCATTCAGATATTACTACTGCTACTACTACTACTACCACTACCACTGTTACTGTTGGTTCTGGTCTTGGTTCTCATTGTGCAAATATATCAAATCGTCCCGGTGTATATACTACTCATCTACTTAAGGATGATACCAGTGCTCATAAAAATATTATCAAACAGAAAACTACTCATATACACAATAGTATGCTATCTCCTGATTCGTCAATGCCTTGTACTAATACTACTTCTACTAGTACTTTTGCTAGTAGTAGTAATAGCAGTACTACTACTAATACTACTACTACCATTGATCAATGTCGACTTCAAATTACACCTTTCGTTCAAACTCATCACCATCATCATCATCATCATCCTCATCATCATCATCTTGGGGCTGGCAATAGTGGATTATGCACAAATTCTTCGGTACCAACTGTTTATTCATCGTGTTTACATCATGTCGGTGATAAAATTGGCATATCTATGTCTCCGAATGATTATCGTCTGTTAACAGATCCTAGATTGATCAATTATGTCACTGATAAAGAGACGGAAGCCAAGCTTATCAATCAATAGTTATCACACACACACACACACAGTCAGTATTAAGCAGTCGTAGTCTCATTCTTGACATCTATTGGTATTGCATTAGCCCGGTGTAAGAATGTGTGTGTGTGTGTGTGGTTGATTCTGCCCAATGTGTGTGTGTGGTGTGTGTGTGCGTGTGCATGTGCAAAAATCGACAATAACAACACACCAACCACAGTAACAACAAATCATCGTTTTTTATTTTTTTTTTGCCATGACCAACTTGCGTCAAGATGAATTTAGCCTTCATATCATGCATATATATAATTGTTGACAAGAAAAAAAAATAAACCAGAAAACAAAAATAACCTACCCTATAGCATCAATTCCCAGTTGTTTTTTTTGTCTTGTTCCTACTTGTTTTAAGCATACATACATAAATAGAAGATGTTATTAATTATTTACTTACTTACTTACATTAGTACTGATCATTTTTTGTGATAATGAAATTTTACTAAAAAAAATAAATACTCTTCTTTTTCTCTGATAAATAGTGAGTTGTTTGATTGCCTAATAGATTGATCGATTCGTTCGTTCGTTCTTTCATCCATTGATTCTTTTACACTTGTATGAACTAGTAGATTGTAATTTCTATCTTTCTTTGTTTCTTTCTTTAATTGTATTTGATTATACATTTTCTTGTTATTATCATTTTATTGTACATGAGATATTATGTGTTATTAATTAGTAGTGGTGTGTACTACTTGCTGGTAATATAAAGTGTATTTTATGTATACGACCGATTTATTTATCTATCTAACTATCTATCTATCTGTTTACTGCTTTTTATTCCTACTTAACCGGTAACAATACATATACACAAAAAACAGTGTGCTTAAAAATAAATTCCCATATACAACACACACACGCACACATGCATACATAGAAAAGTAATGACAACTCTGTACGAGTTCCATCATCATAAATGTGGAGCTTGGGTTTTGTTTATTATTGTCTCTCTGATCTACTAGAATCCGCTGCTCACTTTCATCTTTCTGTTTATCTTGACTTCCTTCTTTCCTTGATTTTGCATTTTCTTTTCTTTTTCTTCTATTTTTATTCTCTGTTCCATCCATCAGCCAACCCGGTTAATATTGCCCATTTAGTTTATTTCATTGTTGAAGTGATTCTATAAACCCGTTGACATCATTTTCTTATGTCTGTCGGTGTTGAATTCTGATGTACACATCCTAGTGATAAAATAAGACCAAAGATTCGTTATTGTTACTACTACTACTACAACACTAATAGCTTCTAATATTTTATACTACCTACTTGTATTGTTACCCGGTATCAATTTAAATGCGGACTTATTTCATGTCGCTATTCCATACATCCGACAGAAAAAAAAACATTCATATTTACTTATGTTGGTGGTGCTTTTTTTTTGTCTGTACATGCCCTGAATTTTTGACATATGTCCAGTGAATTTTATTGTAATGTTTACTGTTACTAAGTACTATTGTTTATGAATACTGTTCCCGGTTACCACCTTCCACACTACTACAATTATCGCTGTCGTTGCTGCCATCATCATCGTGTTCTATTCGGTTGTCTTTTGTGTGGTGCGCATTATACACTGATCATGTACACATATGTGCGTGTGTGTGTGTGTGTACGTGTACACTTGTCTTTTTTTCGGCGTCTCATCACTGTTTAACTGTACTCTAAATTCATTGTCAATTGTTAGTACTACTACTCTACTCTATAATAATAATAATAATAATTAATAATATAATATAATCAATAGAGTTGGTGTTATTACTTATTTATTTATTTAATTGTTCTAACCTTTTAACCACTTATTATTATTATTATCATTATTATTATTATTATTATTATTGTATTGTGCCACTTTGATTATTTTCACGATAATGGTATATCCACATTCATTTAGTTGTTGACTTCTCTGTGGTGTTTTTTTTCCTATTTTACAAAAAAAAGAAAGGAAGTAATAATAATCAATAAGATTACATATTCAGTTATGTATGTATGATTGTAAGTTATGTATCATAGTACTGTACCTTTTTGTGTATAGGTGCTTTCGAGCTGCAGCCAACTCCTAATCATCATTGTTCTTGTTGTGTACAAGGGAGCTGTAGGAAAAAGAAAAAAAAACCAATTACACTAAAACCATATACATGTCGTGGCACAATATCGAGAAAAATATCATCACATCACTACTGCTTCCGGCTTCTCTCTCCCCCATTGAAACTTTTGTAATCTTTTCTGTGTACTTGTGTGTGATTGAATTTTCATCGCAATCAAATAAGTTGATCTAATGTTGTGTAAATGTTTGCCTTTCTTTGTGTAAGCATGTATGTATGTGTTGAATAAGTGATTGTTTGATCTCTTATCGTTCGTTATATTCCACACAGTGTTCCTGTTGTTGTTGTTGCTGCCGCTGCTGCTGACATTCTTATTATTGTTATTATTATTATCATCATCGTCGTTGGTGCACTATTTTTTTCCTCCAACTATCCTCCTCCTCCTCCTGCTCCTCTTCGTCATCATCATCATAAATTGTATCAATTTATTTATACAACAGTAAATATCATCGATTCTCATTTCTATTTAATTATAATTTCTCATTCAATTATCATGTTACTTTGTTTCATTCTAATGAAGTAACAACATACAGAAGACTATGTTTTGTCATTCATTGTCTCTTTAATCTTACAATTAATTCTTTCTATTCTATGTGTATGTAAACATGATCCTTCTTTAATCATTTCCACCCATCTTCTATATTTTTTAAATGTTTCATTAAAAAGTTGTTTTTTTTTTACTGTGAATATTAACAACAATCAGAATGAATAAATTTTGATTAAGTCAAACAAATAGACCGTATGTATGGAGGATATTAAATGTTTGCTTGATGTGTTGTTTTGACACGAAACTTACTGATAAACTGTCACAGCATGTAGTGTGTGTGTGTATGTGTGTGTGTTTGCTTTTCTCTTCCTCATAGACACACACACGTGCACTGTTTGTTTGCATTATTCAAAGTCAACCCCTATTACTTTCTTTTTTTTCATTTCACCACTGTTTGTGCATTTCTTCCCTGCTCTGATCTTTGATTTCAAATTCTGTCCTTTCCTGTTTATTATTATTATTATGATTAATTGTTTTTCTGTTTTTTTTCCTTACAATACCACTGGCTAATTGAACGGCATCAATTTAGTTTTTTTTTTTAATTTGTAATTTCTTGTTGTGTTATTTTATTCTTCGTCATTGAGCCTGCCTATGCGTATATTCCTTTTTCTTTTCTTTAATGGTGTGTATGCGTGTGTGGTCTGAATAAACAGAAAGAAAAAAGGATTGAATTTTACTTAATAAAATAAATAAACAAACAAACAAACATGAAGTTGAAATTATCACTTCTTTATTGATCTTCAAGTAGTAGACATTGTTGGTTGAATTTAAAAGGGTTACGATCGAGTTACATGATTTTTTTTGCTTGAACTTTAATTACCAACGATTGTACTATTTGTCTCAATGAAACTGGATCTACGCGAACCTCGCAGACCAGGTAAATGATGCATGACACTTCGACAGTAATGTAATCATCTCCAATGTAGGGGAATAGGTTATTCAACGAGATAAAGTAGTCAGATTTGTAATGTATATATTAAGCTAACAATCGATGGCCATGGGACATGATAAACGTACTAAACTGAAAGCATGAATAACCAATCCAATGATAGATAGACATACACTGGAAAAATCCTGTTGCAATGACCTTTTGTCATAAATATTATTTATCAATAAAAGCTAGATATCATTAGGTTTTATTAACAGTGTTATTTCTATCGATATACAAGTTCGATAACGTACAGTGAGTGTCAAAAGTATCATGACGAACTTCCAACTTTTTTCCAGCCAATCGGGAAATAGTTTTCATAACTATATAATTTGATTGGATAAGAAACATTACAAAGTGTAAACAAATATGACACAATTAGTAAGTTTAACAAATTCATTTGTAGGATGTTCTACCTCTAAATCAAAAGTAACAACGATTCATAAATAGGATTGTTCTTGTTTAAAACTTGAAGAAACAGATTTCCAAGTCTCCCTGCATTATCTCTAGTTAGCATTAGGTATTTGGGCTAAGAATTAGGGATTTTTTTTCATAGTATCAGCTATGATATGAAAATGCTTTTTGGCCATATTATAGATCAGAGAATTTTGTTCGAAAATGTATGCAAAATGATCAGTTCAAATCCTGGATTCGTCACACAACTGAATCGTTAACAGAAGCATGGTAAACGTCTTTCATTTCATATCCATGATGGAACGTATACATTTAAATGGATGGCGGGAGATATTTCTAGCTGTCGCTTCCTTATTTCGAAGTGTACTATTGACTGAAACAATCGACTATGTATGTCAACAACTGTTAGTAAAAAAGAACATTGGAATTCCCTCGGTTAGTCTCAAAATATTACTCTTGAAGTGTATAGTGAACGTTTATTTCGTCCGTAATAACACACTATAAACCAATTGATGGAATGGCAATGGGCTCACCTTTAGGATTTATCCTTGTTGACTTCTTAAGAAACGGACCTCAAGGAGGCTATTGATCAGCTCGACTTTTACTGCTGTTACACTGATGATAGTTTCTTTATTAATTAAAGAAGAACTCTTGAAGCAACTTAACAATAAATGCTCAGCAATCGGATTTATGTCTTAGGAGGAACTTGTTTACAAATTAGTTTTTTTTTTGACGTTTTATTTAACAAAATGATCCTATTAGTAGAAGTATGTATTGAAAAAGTTATTTGTCAATCCGGTGCACACATTTCTTGCGATTCGTATCCATTTGTTACAGGTTAGTTAAATGTTTCTCAAGTAGAGTTAACAACATGTACTCAGAAGACACCACTAATTCCTGATATGTTGATTGAAGTAGGTTATCTACAAGGTTCTCTGAAGAAGCACTTGCATATAATGGACAGAGAAACAGAGATATAGACAGAAACCTCTTCCGGAAACTAAAATTCATTGGAGATGTAACTAGTGACGCGCTCCCAGACAGACTGACTAAAGTAACGATGAGGATTTTTAGTGTATCTAACAACTCTGTCGTATTCTAGACGATGATGATTTCTCAACTAAAGTATAAATTACCTGGTCGCGCCACAACCATCTGTATCTTTGTCAGGGACGTTAGATCTCCAGAACTCACTTGGAAAAAGACCTGTAATTTATTTCTGAAATTTTGAATTTCTATTTTTTCGAAACACGAGACACTTCGTTAACCTACAGCTTACATTTCTCACTCGGAAATCCTTGACTGTCATCGGTTGACGGATTATTTTATGGCCAACGGATTGCTATCATTGTATGAATAAGCTTGATTTGTGTTCTTAGCAACCTCATATTTTCTGGGTGCGTATAGACTACATTCTCTACGCCTTATCAAGATTTCTTGCTTTT